GCGGTAGAAGGCCACACCCGCGGAGGGCGGCACCAACACCCCAGAGGAGCCGTGGTGGCGGCTTCGACGGCGGCGTCAGTTTCGGTGTCCTCGCGGCCCATAGGGACCCGCTCTCGTCCACGAGTGTCGCCCCGAAGAGTCTCCTCGACCAGTTCGGCGTCAACATCGGATTCAACAGGAGAGATGGAGCCGATTTCCTTCTCGACCTCCTCGGTGTCAGACTGGCCTGACCCGAGGTCAATTATCTCGACCGTTGGAAAAGCCGAACATTCCCCGCAGGGCGGCCCCGTCGCCGCCGCCACCGACGTCACACGGACGGCGGAGATTGGAGTAACGCAGAGCGGCCGCATCGCCCCAGTCGCCGGGGGAGAGTAGACCACCAACTCCCCGGTCTCCTCCGCCGTGAAGCCGCCATCTCCGGCGGGAAGGTTCGTAGCAGGCCCAGAAGAACTCGACATAATCGAAATTAAAAAGGAAGGTTTCGGGAAAATGGAATTACCGGTTTGAAGATCTCCCAGAAGCTCGAAAAACCTTGAAACTGCTCTGAAATTCCGCTCGGAAGTCTGATTGCTCGAAAGATTAGTTTGCTCGAAAATTCTGAAAGCTCGTAAAAGCTTCTCGAGGAAGACGATGGAAATATATAAACAAATCCAGAGCCAATCGCAGTATTACACGTGGCGCAACGTTTGAAATTCAAAATTAAGGGTTCGATCTAACGGTCAGGGTTCAAAAGATCCGACGGTTCCAAAAAAGCCGCGTGAGTGCCACGCGCCTAAAAAACCACCGCTTCACCAGAACGACACGCCGTTTGGTGCAGACGAATCCTAACATGACACGTGTAAAGGCCCTGAATCGACGCGACTTTTCATAACCGGCAGGAAGCGTAACGGTCACGACACATTAAATGACCCGTCGTTTCGGGTCTGGGGAAGGTGTGCATGACAAATGGAAGGAAATTTCGCCAAGTGTGTTCTGAGTGCCGACCTCGGATGCGTTTTAGGGAAAGCGACCTCACAGAGGGTGCTGAAGACACCCTCTCTGAGCTCGGGGGCCTGTATGTTGACATCCGAGTTCGAGAGCCGAACCGGAAGGACCCGGTTTGCTCGGAAAGTGCCGAACCGGACCGGATTATTTTTTAGCCCAGACGTCCCCACGAGTCCGTCTACCAGTCCGGCGTTTGAGACTCCGAAGTCCCGATGCCGACCTGAAGAGTGACGGTCTGGAAGAAAGGTTCCCCAGGGTCGGAGGAACAAATAAAGACAATGTGCCGACCTGAAGTTCCAGAACGGGCTCATGCAATGAAGGTGTCGAACTCGATAGTATTATAATAATGCCACTTGGAGGATAATCATTGGCTAACGGATGGGACGCCCTAGCCTGTTGACCTACTTCCCCTAGCCAAGACATAAAGCCTGTCAGCATTAAATGCCCGTCAGACAATGATGAGAAAAACCTCAAATCGCATTTAATTTTGTCAGGGAGGCGCCGGACTGCTCTGCAAGAAACACTGTACGACAAGACCGATGAACAGTGGATGAACAGTACCTGAACAGTGCCACATTTAAGACAACTATAAATAGCAGCCCACTTCATTTATTTTGGGTTGTTGAAAACCTCAACTGTAAAAGCTATCTCTCCCTACTTTCTCTCTCTAGAACTTGTGTGATTATTCTGTAACAATTCGTAAGGATATTGCAAGTGCCGACCTCGTTCGAGAGGCCGAACTCGCGATCTATCAATAAAACCGCAATTAAACCGTATTTCTTTCTCTTTTCCTTATTCTCTTTTCATTACTTGATCCTTTTAACCGTTGACCGGAAACGCCCATCAACACATGTAAACAATAAATACCAAGCTCTCTTCATAATTCTGTACGTACGGAAAATATTGAGAAATGAAAATGGTAATTGTCCAGAAAGTTTTTGCGTTTTTCTTCGATTAAGAGGGAATTTCACAGTTTTGCATATTCCTTTGCTCTCCTCTGATCACTGCATGCTGCTTTTTGATAATGAGGTGATGGATGACTTTGGGAAGAGGAGGTTTATGTTTGATAAAAGATGGGTAAATATGGAGGGATTTAAGGATTGTGTTCATAGGGCTTGGAGTTAAAGGGCTAATGGGAGAGGCATGTATGAATTTTAGAGAAAATTAAGGAAAGTGAAGTTTGGGTTGATAAACTGGGCCAAGGATCAGAGATCTAACTCAGCCATAATAATTCAAAAATGTAATGACAGATTGGAGTGGTTAAACTCACAAGACTCAGGGAGAGAATGGGAAGAGTGGCTGCATTGCAAAAAGGAGTTACACAGAGCCTATAAGGAGGAGGAATCTTATTGGAAGCAAAAATCTAGAGTAAGATGGCTTAAGGAGGGAGATAGAAATACCCGCTTTTTCCAAGCATGTGTGAAACAGAGAAGACAACTGAATAGTTTGGATAACTTAATCAAGTCAAATGGGGAAAGGTGTAATGGGAGAGGAGAATCTGTGGAGGAGGTGATGAAGTATTTTGAGAGTTTGTATCAGACTGAGTATACTGAGGCCAATACTGATATCCTTAGGGGTATACCTGTATTCATCACTCCAGATCTAAACCAGAAACTATGCAAACCTGTGGAAGAGAGTGAGGTGAAGCAAGCTCTGTTTGATGTGGACCCTGACAAGGCCCCAGGTTTGGATGGTTTTTCCCCTATTTTCTTTCAATCTTCTTGGTCTATAATTAAAAGTGACATGTGTGCTGCTGTAGCTAATTTTTTCCATTTTGGGTGCATCCCTAAAGCTACAAACCATACAGTTATCACCTTAATCCCAAACATAAAAAATCCTACCAAAGTAGTCGACTTTAGACCTATTAGTCTCTGTAATGTTATTTATAGAGTTATTGCTAAAGTTTTAGCTAATAGAATAAAAAATGTTCTTGATAGATGTATATCCCATTTTCAATCTGCGTTCATTCCTGATCGTCAAATTCTTGATAATGTCATAATTGCTAATGAGTGTATCCATTTTCTCAATAGCAAAAGAAAAGGTAGAAAATGTTATATGGCTCTTAAGTTGGATATGGCAAAAGCATACGATAGGGTAGAATGGGGTTTTTTGATTAGGGTGTGTAGAGCTATGGGTTTTTGTGAAAACGTTTTTGACCTGGTTGTGGGTTTGTATTAGTTCCACTTCATTCTCTTTTAATTTTTGTGGGCAAGCAGTGGGGTATGTCAAGCCGTCTAGGGGTTTAAGGCAGGGGATCCTCTTTCCCCCTATCTTTTTATTATACTCTCAGAAGCATTGTCAAACCTTATCAAACAATCATGTATCTCACACGGTTTCAAAGAGCCTGAAAATAAGCAAGCATTCCCCTGTTGTCTCTCACTTATTTTTTGTGGATGATTCCTTGATTTTGTGTCAAGCAGATGCTTATCATGCTAAGCTTTTGCTAAATATTTTGAATTCATATTGCTCTGCTTCTGGACAAGCCATTAATATGACTAAGTCCAATATTTTCTTCTCTGATAATACTCCTGCCTTCTTGAAGAATATAATCTGCAACATCTTTTATGATATTGGAATTGTGAAATCTTCTAGATACTTGGGTCTCCCCTTGGGGATTGGAAAATAAAAAAAAGACACTTTTAAATTTGTTATAGAGTGTGTTGTGTCTAAAATATCTAGTTGGAAAAACAGGTATCTGAGTGAGGCTGGAAAAGACACTCTCATTAAGTCAGTGCTAAATGCCATGCCTGTATATGTCATGTCAGTATTCAGAATTCCCGTGGGGGTTTGCATGGAGGTTTGTAGGATCATTGCAAATTTTTGGTGGGGGCAGAGTGAGGAAGGAAAAAATAGAATTCACTGGGCATGTTGGGAGAAATTAGCTAGAGATAGGGTTGAGGGAGGGTTAGGGTTCAGGGAGTTTGGGGTTTCGAATGAAGCCTTAATCATTAAGCAGTTGTGGAGAATATTAACAAAACCTAATCTGCTTATGAGTAAGGTAATGAGGGGTAAATATTTTTATAATCAAAATCTGATGGAGGTTGCTAAGAGAAGTAGTGATTCATGGTTATGGAAGGGGTGGCTAGGGGTTAGAGCTTCATTAAAGTTAGGTCTGAGATATCAAATAGGCAATGGGCAGGCAGTGAAAATTTGGGAATCCCCATGGATTCCTAGAAGTCCTAATTTTAAGCCTTTTTGTGTGTCTCAGGTGGATAAGGTGGCTTTGAATAGGGTGTCTGATTTGATTTTGACAGGTAGCAAATCTTGGGATGAGCAGTTGATCAGAAAGGCCTTTACACCAGGGGATGCTGAAAATATACTAAGCATTCATCTCAGCCATTGGGGAATGAAGGACAGGTTAGTTTGGGCAGCAGATAAAAAAGGGAAATTTTCAGTTAAAAGTGCCTATAATATGATTTTGAAGTCAAGAAAGAGTAACACAGATGGGCAGGAATCAAGCAGCTCAATGCACAACAAACAACTAATGTGGAAAAAGCTATGGGCTTTACCTGTTAAAAACAAGTTGAAACTGTTCTTATGGAGGTGCTGGTTTAATTACTTGGGCACAAAAGATGGACTGAAGAAAAAAGGAATGGAGATTGATGATATTTGTAACTGGTGTGGGTCTGAAGTGGAAACTTTAGAACATTTGTTCTTCACTTGTGACAGGGCAGAGAAAGTCTGGAAAATTGCTGGGCTATATTGGAGGAACATGAGGAATAGACAGGTTAGTTTTCAAGATTGGTGGATGGACTTATCTCAAATTGATAGGGCTCATAATTATGTGGATAGAGTAAGCCTAGCTACGTATCTATTGTGGTGGTTATGGACAACTAGAAACAATTGGGTGTTTAGGGGAGAGAAGATGGATGAGTGGAATCTGGTTCAAAGGGCCAAAAGTGAATGGATAGAATTTGAAAGTATTAAAAAGCCTCAAGTAGAATGGGGAGGGAAGATGTGGTGCTGCAGAAACTCAGTCAGAGTCTAGGAGTAGGGCAGAAGTCCTCCGTTGTCAGTGCTATTGACTCAAGTACTAAGTGTTGGGTGGCTCAAGGACAGGCATATGATCAGCAGAAGGAGATAACCAGATGGTGCATTGAAGCTGAGAAACATAAGACAGATGTGGAGAGCATACTGTTGGATCTAAGGAGGTGGCTGGAATGAGGAGTGAAGGAAGGATGGCATAGAGTGCAGGTGTGCTTCAAAGATAAAAAGATGGTCGATCTTCTGAAATGCAAATCAGATTGTCCTGTTAAAGTATTGGCTATTGTAGATGATATTGTATTATTGGGGTCAATGTTGAACCTTGGTATTTCTTTTTAATGATTTTGTGGTATTGTTTAGACCGATGTGGTCTCTTAGGGAGCATCTGTTTTGTGTCTCCCGCAGCAGGTTTCATGTGGTTAGCTCTGTTAGCTATTTGGAATTTGCTATGTAATTGTACTGATTACTCGAACTGGTGTATATGAGTTTTCTTGTTTAATTTATTTGAGGTTTGATAAAAAAAAAAAAAATAATAACTCACCCAAATAAAACGACCACAATCTTCAATCTGTTTCTTCGTAAATTTAAATTCAATTCAACTCCTGACAACATTCATTCAAATATTAACCAATCGAATCCGCAATACTCTGCGCGAGGCTGGCGTAATCCAGCGCCGCCTTATTCCCCTTCTCGATCTCGCCGTTCTTCGCCTCCTTGGCAGCCCTCACGCAGCGCCCGATCTCCATCTTTGCCAGCTCCGAATCGTAACTCGCCAGCTGGGCCTCCACCGCCGCCTCCTCCACAAGCGTCTGGAACTGCTTGATGTAGCCATCATACGCATCCGTGCACTCCCCTACCGCCGCCTTCAGATCCGACTTCCGGCCGGCCGAGAGCTTCTTCAGGATAGCAATGTTCTTACGCCCGAATTTAATGGCGGCATCTGCTGAGATGGCGAGGAGCGCCTGGTTGTCCTCCGCCTCGGTGCTGGCGGCGCTCGACCGGAGGACCTGCAGGCAGAAGGTGGCCTTCACGTCCAACCGCCGTGACAGGCAGAAGTGGTTCACGAATTTGTATGGTGACGTGGCGTTTTTCGGTTTGGGAGTCACTTTGGGCGGCGCGGGTTTTGGTTTTGAATCTGGCGTATGTGAATCTGTCGTTGGTTTCTCGTGTGGTGACGTGGCATTATTTTTGTTTGGTGAAGTTGAGTTTGAATCGGGTGCGGACTTCGTGGGTGAATCGATCGGTGGTTTTGTGTGCGGTGAGATTGTGTTCGAACCTCGTGTGGGTTCCGATTTTGGCGAAGTTGAGTTTGAAAGCGGCGGCTCGAGTTTTGGGTGAGGTGGAATGGAATTTGAGTCTGGCTCGAGTTTTGGGTTTGGAGAAATTGAGGCGGGATTTGGGGTTTGTTTTGAGGGTAATTTTGAATCAGGTTTGGGATTGGGGATGGTTTGGGATTGGGTTGGTGTGAGTAAAAGAATGAGGAGGCAGGGGAGGATGAAATTTGGAGAACTTTTCATCTTAGGACTTTTTTTATTTCTATTTTTATTTTTATTTTTTCGTCCCTTGTTTTGATGGCTGGTTGAAATTTTCTGTTCGGATGGCTTTATTATTGAGTGTGTTTGGTAAATTGGAACTGAATTTAATTGGTGTTCGAGCGTAAATAATGACATTATGCAGCTACTGTTACAGGAGCATTTAGTCCTACCAATTTTCAGTTCATTTGGTGTTGTGTGAGTTATGTTTGATGTAATAGATGAACTTAATTGAAAACGGTTATTAAATGAACTCTTCAGTGTTATATGAAACATACAATAGCAAATCTATATATACATATATAAAAGAGAGAGAAAATAATTTAATGCAAAAAACTTTGGTTTTCCGCTCTTTTTTTGTGGTAATTATAACAAAAGACCGTTTCATTTTATATTACAACTGAGTAATAATTATAATTTTTTAAAGTATTTTATCATGTAATAATTATTATTAAAACTAATTAATTATATTTTACAATAAATACACTATAAGAAACAACGCATTTGACGACATTTATTTTTTTTAATGACGTTTATTAACATCACAAAAAAAATACATACACTATTAAAAGTATCGCGAGTTGCGTTGCTAATTTGATGTCACTAAATTATCTGCGAATCAAGACTTTAACTTAGGTAATTTTTTATGTGTGACGCTTTCACTTTTGTAGATGTAGAATTTGTGACGCAAGCACCTTGCTTCTGCAATAATCATGTTTGGCACTTTTTTGAGTGCGACATCATTATAAATTTTGACCACACACTACATGTGTATTGTAAATTTTAATATGTGACACTTTATTAAATGCTTCGTTATAGCGAATTTTGATGACACAATTTATGCGTTGATAAATTTCAAAGCGAAACACTTTTTTATTGCGACGTGATTATGTATTTAACAACACTATTCTGTAACAATTTCATCGAAACTTGCCAACACTAATCATAATTAAGGGTGCCATTTTTTTTCGATAAATTAAAAATCGAAATCGAACCGAACCGACATGGAAAAAACCGAAATGAACCAAGCCAATTTTTTCGGTAACCGACACTTTTTCGGTTCGACTATGGATTTTGGTTTTACATCGTTCGGTTATAACGAACTGAACCAAATATTATTGGGTTTAGGATTTCATGTTAGTTTTTATTTCATTTAGCCCATTAGTCCATGACCCAACCCAATATTTTCTTTAGCCCATTACCCAATAGTCCATGACCCAACCCAATATTTTCTTTAGCCAATTACCCAACCGAAATAATGTAATTAACTTATTAACTATTCATTTTTCTTCTCCCAAATCAATTGGAAGTGCAGAACTGCGGACAAGCAACTCAGGCCAGATCTCCCATCTCCCTATCTCACTATTTCTTTCTCTTTCTCGACCCATTTACGCAAACGATTCCTTCATCNATATATATTTTTTTTCTCTAAAACAAAGGAAAAAAATTGATACAAACTTCAGATTCATGTTTTATATTTTTCAGATTCCAGCTTTTGGTTGACTTTTGCATTTTCGAAAATAAGCACAAAAACACAATAAACAGGTATTCCTATAAGCATGCAGTCGAATACAATTTTTTATGTAATAATTCTATATATGCATAAATATATAATACATATCATGTATAAGAATAAAATAATATATTTTTAAATTATTTATAAATACATTTTATTAGTTTTATTTTTATATAAGATGGTGTGGGCATGTGCGTAGGAGAGACTTCGAGACTCCGATGAGAAGGGTAGAAATATTAGAATTAATAATGCAAATTAATAGGGGGAGGCGTAGACCTAAGAAAACTTGGAAAAATAATTAAAAAATAATTTAAAATATTAACATTTGAATGAGGATATGTGTTTTGATCGAGCAAGATGGCGACATGCAATCCATATAGCCGAACCCACTTAGTGAGATTTTGACGGCTTGTTGTTATTATTGCATAATGTTAGCATACATAAAGAACTCGTACATGCATGAGCATTTATTGCACATTGTATCTGCATGCTTTCATGCAACTTTTTCTCTATCTTTCTTGGACATGTGTAGGGCTAGGATTTATCTGTCTTTATTGCGTGGTTGAGATTATTTGAGATGTAGGGTTCACTTGCTATATAAAGCAAGACATTGTATGACATTTGCGATGATCGAAAATCAGAATACCACAGCTGCTGCTTTTCCTGTTTCATTGATGAGCACCATTTTCATGGTTTCTTGTTTCAACATGAAACTTAAGCTTTTCTTTCATGGTATCAGAGCGGGCTGATCCTGTCTCTGATACATTTTTCTCTTTTCATCTTATCATTTAATGCTTTCTCATTATGGCTCACTCAACAATAGATTCAACCAGCCATATAGGTCACACAACTCCACCTTCTTCACAACTTCAAGACATCTATCCCCAAAATCACCTCTTGACCATAAAACTAGATGAAAGCAATTATCTCATTTGGAAACAACAAGCGCTCATCTCCATCAGAGGATATGGCCTTGAACACTTCATCCTCGGACAACAAGAGCCACCCCAGTTCATTTAACAAGAAGGCAGTGGTGTCACAAATCCTGAGTTCATCACTCATCAAAGGCAAGATCAGATCTTGGCATCTTGGCTTCTTTCATCTCTCTCAGAAGGTCTCTTGGTGCAAATGGTAGGTCTTCAATCAAAGGAGATCTGGAATGCCCTAGCCACAAACTTTACTAGCCAATCTTTGGCAAAACAGATGCAGTACAAACTTCAACTGCAAACTATGAAGAAAGAGAGCTTGAGAGATTTTTTGAACAAGATGAAAAGTTGCTTTGATATGTTGGCCTCTGTTGGAGCAAAAGTGTCTGAGAAAGATCAAATCTTACATATCATTTCAGCTCTTGGGAATGAATATGACCCAGTCATGATAACAGTGACCTCAAGGATGTATACCTGGACAGTAATGGATGTTCAAGCTTTATTTCTAAGCTATGAGTCCAGACTTGAAGCAAATGGAGTCATAAACAACAATGGTTTTGGAAACATCAATGCTGATGGATCTCAACCATCACTGAATCTTGCTCACAGTGGCCAGAGAGGAAATTTTCAGAACAACAACTCAAGTGGAGCCATAGGAAGAAGCTATTCTAATAGGGGAAGAGGAAGATTTAGAGGTGTTTATAGAGGCTGATGTGGCCGTTTTCAATGACCAAGACCTATCTGCCAAGTCTGCTGGATCACGGGGCACACAACAGATAAATGTTGGTACAGATTTGACACAAACTTTACTCCTCAAACTCAACAAAGTGGTTCATCCACTCAGAATCAGCATAATGCTTCAAATGCTTTTCAAGGTGGTTTTTCGAGGAGTCCTGCTCTTCACATTGCTCAACTGCCTTCACCCTCAAATTTTCAGTCTGAAAGCAACATGGATTCCCTTTGGTACTAGGATTCAGGGGCTACCAACCATGTTTCCAATTATTTGAGCAACCTTACCAGTGTGTCTGAGTATCAAGGTAGCAACAGACTCCATATGGGTAATGGAGCAGGTGAGTTAATTTCTCATATTGGTAAAGCTCAACTAAAGTCACCTTCATGTCCTATAACTTTTACATTAAACAAACTTCTTCATGTACCCTCTATCACAAAGAACCTCCTTAGTGTTTCTGAATTTGCTAATGACAACAATGTTTATTTTGAATTTTATTCTGATTCTTGTGTTGTTAAGGATCATCTTACCCATCAAGTCTTGCTCAAGGGAACTCTTAAGGAAGGTTTATATCAGTTCAACTTCTCCAGTCAAAGCACAAGTCCAAGTTCTTAAAAAAGTCATCACTCTTTTAATCCTAGTGTTAATGCAGTTTTTAATTCCAGGAAGTGTGGTCTTAATCTTTGGCACAAAAGGCTAGGACATTCAGCCTATGATATTGTAATAAGAGCTTTGAATGATTGTAATGTGTCTTATGATGAAAGAACCATTAATGAAATTTGTTCTTCTTGTCTCCTTGCTAAAGCTCACAGACTCTCATATTCTTTGTCTGATTCATTATGTTAAAATCCCCTTGAACTTGTGCACTCTGATTTGTGGGGACCCATCCTCACCTGTCAAATCTTGAAATGGTTACCAATATTATGTGACCTTTATTGACCATTTTAGTAGGTTCACTTGGCTATACCTCTTAATGTCCAAATCTGACACATATCAAGCATTCATTCATTTCAAAAACATTGCTGAAAACCAATTGAATAAAAAGATAAAAACAGTCCAAACAGATTGAGGTGGGGAGTTTAGGTCTTCATCAAAGTTTTTTCTGGACCATGGAATCCAGCATAGACTATCTTGCCTTATACACCCCAACAAAATGGGATAATAAAAAGAAAACACAGACATGTTGTTGAAATGGGACTTTCTTTGCATGCAGAATCTTCTTTACCTTTACATTTTTGGGATGATGCCTTTGTCACTTCATGTTATATCATAAATAGAGTTCCCACCAAAGGCCTTTCCTATAAAAGTCCACTTGAAGTTCTTTATGGACACAAGACTAATCTTCTGATGCTGAAAACTTTTGGTTGTCTTTGCTATCCTTATGTTAGACCATATAATAAACATAAACTCCAGTTTAGGTCTGGCAAGGATACATTCATAGGCTACAGCCCAAGTCACAAGGGTTACAAGGTTATTTTATCCTCAGGCAAAGTGATCATCACAAGAGATGTTGTTTTTGATGAAGAGCATTTTCCTTTCAAACAGAAATTGAACACTTCAAAACAACCTACTCCACCTACTTACATATTTTCTAATGTGCCTCCATGTGTTATGGATTTTTCTCACCTATATCACCAAACTCCTACTCTTCCCACAGAACTTCCACATCAGACTTCTCATACACCATCCTCATCCAAACATAATAGCCCAAATTCATCCATTCCAAGAACCTGTGAAGATTCAAACTCTAATGTACCCTTGCATGTTGAGCTGCCAAATATAGGAAATGATATTCATAATCACAATACTCATG